TATATTTTACTATGCCTCTTTTTGGAAAATATTATAAAAACTTAGTGATTGATATCTCAATTTTCAGCTCACAGGTGAGTCAGTGCTTTTAATCTATACACTGGTACCTAATGATAATCAACCTTTAGGCTTTTAATGCCAGTTACTGTATCTATGTTCACTTTAAATATAAAAACCCATCAGATATCTATAAATAACAGTTATTGAACAGTTCATCTCACTTAATTTTAAGTAAAAAGCACTTAACAATCACAACTGGGACCCAGTCGGGTTAGGGCACTTGACTCGCAATCTGAGGATCGCGGGTTCAAATCCCCGTCTCACCAAACATGCTCGCCCTTTCAGCCATGGGGGTTTTTATAATGTGATGGTCAATCCCATTATTTGTTGGTAAGAGAGTAGCCCAAAAGTTGGAGGTGGGTGGTGACGACTAGCTGCCTTCCCTCTAGTGTTTCACTGCTAAATTAGGGACGGCTAGCGCAGATAGCCCTCGTGTAGCTTTGCATTAAATTCAAAAACAAAAAAATCACAACTGATTTCCAAACAAATTCATCAACCCCAAAACACTCAAGTTTAACTTGACTGAATTTCTGTGAAGTTATGTATACATCAACTAGATGTTAATCCATAATAATTACAAAAACATCGTCTTTCCTTCACACATTATGCAACTCTCCAGTGGCTCATAGTAAGCTCAAGAGCTTATAATGCTAAAGTTCAGGGTACAATCCCTAAAATGGGCATGGTGGATAGCCTATTGTACAGATCATAGCTTAAAACAAACCTACCACATTATAAACAATCCTATACTGACAATATTTTTAAAGATACCAACTTTCAAAGCAACAATAAAACTGAATGTGTGTTGGTAACTCAATACCAATTTCTTCCAATGCTAATAAACAGATGTCACTAACCTTCAAGGACAAAAGAACAGGGTTACGGTTTTTTCCATTTAACCACTCTTCAGCTGTAAGAGCAGGTGTTGGAGCTACTGTGTCAGGGTAAAGATCCTCTTGAAAACGTTCAGACTGTCAAAAGAATTCATAAAAACGTTAATGAAATACCATTAAATACTGTTACATTTCAAAAGCTTTTCTCAACAACTGTGTCAAAACAAGAGAAATCAAATTTTATAATTATAGATAAATTATCATAAAAAGAAGAGATTTGAATCACAGGATGGAAAATACTTTAATTATCGAAACTTTATTTGCTTTAAATTGAGATTACTTATACTTAATTCTTGTAAGAAATACTCTTTCGTTGTTGAAAATACATGAAAGCACATTTGTTAGTTTACAAGTTTTCAGACACAAATTTTCTTTGAATAATCACTGATACTGGCTTGCATTACTTTTAAATCTACAGGTTTTTCAAACGCAAACCTTACTTATAATGATTACTGATACTGGCTTGCATAAACTGTTATTTCACAAAGACAAACCTTTCTTGGAACAATCATCGACACTGGTTCGCACAGATCTTTGGTAGCATGAAGCTTATAAAACCGAAAAATTTCACAACTCATCACATCTAGCCCACGTTTCGGCATAAAACCAAGGCCACGTTGAGGTGAACCAGTCAAAAACTGATGAAGATAATGACACCAGGGTGCCTCGTCTACAATTTCATAGTATCGAATATTGCCATCACCCTATAAACATTTTTTTAAAGGCAAAAATATATCATTTATAGTTGATCAGATAAAACAGAAAAACATATAATGTTTTAACAAGTATAAACATATATATATATATATGTATATATACGAAATCAAAAAGTGAATCCATAAACATGACATGTCACAATCGTAAAACTCCAAAGCATTATACTAATAACAAGAAATAGAAATTCAGCAAATATAAAAAACTTAAAAATTCAGTTAATTGACAATAATGAATCCATTTTATTAACAGTTAACGTAACAGCTTTAACATTCTTTTTTTTTTTAGCAATGAATGAAAGAATCTTACTTTTCCAGCAAGAAAAACCATCTTGGTGTCATGATCATAGTAAGGAAACAAAACTCCTGAGGAAGAATCAATACTTTCCATCCTCAAAGGACTACCAAGGTCATGCTGTAATGTAATTAGAAAAATCAATAGTAGCATAAAGTCACAATCCTCAAATGATTGCGAGTTCACTAAAAATATCAAACAAGCCACGAAAAATAATTCATCTAATTTCATGCAAAACCTCCCATACTATACTTGTTTTGTTCTCAAATATTTATTTAAACTCATGATCAACATTGTAGTTTTTAGTTCATTAAAAATTGTACGTGTGACGAAACTGGAGCAACCGTAAGAAATTTATGTTAGAAAACCCATAAATGCTGACATGATGCATACCTGTGACCAAACAGCCCACTGTCGATCACTGAACTTTGAAAATCCGGTGGTAAACACTCGTCCAGTATCACCTAGGAACACAACCTTAGAAGCCTTGGATCCCTGGTGGCAAAGACTCTCCTAAACCCAGAACAATTTTATAAAATAAAACCTAAATTAAAAATTAATTTTCAGTACTGTCATGTACAAATGCAATTTATTTTTATTAAACATTATTAATACTATGATTTAATCTCATGGTGTCATTAAAAATGCCCAATTAACTAAAAGTATTACTAAAAAATAAAATATCATCGCACACTGATCAAACTCAATTACATGGTAACTATATTTATTCCAACATAATAATCTCCAAGTATACTCGCTTCTTCCAGCTACATATACAAAAACCACTGTTTCCTGCTTATTTATTTGGCTAAGTCAATCACAATATATAGAAAAACAGAGAAAGAAAGGTTTAAACAACAAATTCTGACACTAGAATGACAAACCTTAAGGACCATTCCTTGACGAGGATCTATAATTCTTAACTTCTTATCTTTACAAGTGGTTGCTAGTAGGCTACCATCCCGGTTGAAAGACATTGAGTAAATAGAATCGGGATGACAATCTATAATTTTCACGACTTCTCCTTTGCCTACGTGCCAGATAAGGATCTATTTAAGAAATCAAGTAGAAAATGACTTTCTAACGAGTAATTATTGGCATTCATTTATTACTGGCCGAAAGCTTCACTTTAATAGAATATAAAACAACACAAACACAGAAATAAATTACAAAATCACCTTTAGATTACATTAATATATATTTAAACACTAGGATTACAAAAAGGAAAATCATATGTAATGAAGTGTACGTAGGATAAACAATTTTCTTTGTACAAATTCTTAATTTAATTCCCTAAATAGCTACCTTATTCCTTACTAAAATTATTTCCTGCCATTTCCTTTAGTAATTCATTTTAAAAAGTCCATGCTTTTAATTAGTTTAATGAAAACACAAACTTGTTTCATTAAATATACTTTGGATATATCGATATTATTGTTTCACCCACTCAATACACAGTTTTACTTTTCTGATTTATTTTGGTTCATTTGTTTATAAACCCCTCACTATCCATCCCACTTTCTTCCTCAAAATATGATCCTCATTAAAAAAATAATAATGATTAAAAACTTGGTTCAATCAAAGCATAGCTATGACCTATTTCTGACCAATACACACACACAGAGATATAAATCTCCTTACTATATTGTCAAAACCAGCACTGAAAATAATGTTTTCAGCTGTCGGATGCCATTCAACGTTACCCACTCTACGGTAATGATGATGGAGGTCCATTATAGGCTTCGTCATGTTTGAGCGCATCAGGCCTTCATCAGGAATAAACCACAGTTTTATCTAGAAGAATCAATTCCATTAAACTCTGTAAAGTCCTCCACAATCAAACTATTAACAGTGAATGTAAGAGTCTCCATATGAAAGACTTAGGAACTGATAAACACACTAGATTTAGTATTGCATTGTTAATTTCAAACTAAAAAAATTGTATTTCTTTAACAGCTGTCCTGTAACATTTATAAACTTTTTATGATAATCATTAGATAAACAACTATGAAATAATT